ATCTTTCAAGAATTTTTTTTGTTGAACCCTAATGTAGATTTTTTTCTTGATATCTAAATCATATTAAATATTTAATTTAGTTAGACATTGTAGTATTAAATAGTTAAGTTAAAGACATTGAATTTTACTTGATATTTCTTAGTTATATAGTTATAGTCATATAGTTATTGTTATATTTGCTTAGTCGAATTTCTTTAGTTGATAAAAATATATTTCACATGTATTTTTTTGTAGTAATATAAAAGAACTAACTTTTGTCTTTCAGGTGGTGATTATACCTACTTTGGAATAAAAGATGGTATTTTGAGAACTATTTTTAAAAAAGATCTAGATTTTGTTGAGTTAGTATTCAACATTGATGGCCTCCCTATCCATAAAAGTACAAATGCTTGCCTCTGGCCAATTCAATGTCGTGTTGATAATGTGCGTGAAAACAGTCCATTTGTTGTGGCGTTGTTTTGCGGTGTACAGAAGCCAACTAGTTTGGAATTCTTGGAAGAGTTTACTTTAGAGTTAAAATTCCTAATGGCAAATGGCATTAATGATTATAATGGAAAAACCATACAAGTAAATACGAAATATTTTATCTGCGATGCGCCAGCAAAAGCTTTGATTAAAGGCATTGCTCACTATAATGGTCGCTATGGTTGTGATTATTGTAATGTAAAAGGAACTTATGATTGTCGAATGATGTTTTTATACACTGGTACTCAGCGCACTGATCAGACAATTAGAGAAAAAATTCAGAAAAGTCATCACAAGTATATCAGTGTCTTGGAATCACTTGAAATAGACATGGTACAACAGTTCCCTCTTGACGTGATGCATTGTGTGGACCTAGGTTGTACTAAAAAACTACTGTTAACTTGGAAGGAAGGCCCGCTTCCTTTTCGATTGTCATCAGGGCAAATTACTTTATTAAGCACTTACTTATGTTCTTTAAAAGAATACATTCATATAGAATTTAATCGTAAACCAAGAAGTTTGAAAGATCTCAAGTTATGGAAAGCTTCTGAATTTAGAACTTTTCTTTTATATTGTGGACCAGTAGTTTTGAAATATATACTCAGCAAAGAAAAATACAACCACTTTCTTTGTTTAAGTGTAGCTATTCGGATTTTATACAGCAAAGATTTGATGACTGAGTATAAAGGTTATGCTCAAGAGTTTCTTAGTAGCTTTGTGGACAACACCAGACTGCTCTACTCCGATCATCTATTAACTTATAATTTTCATTGTTTAAACCATTTAACTTTAACAGCAGAGAGATATGGTTGTTTAGATGGAGTGACAGCCTATCCATTTGAAAACAATATGTCAGCTATAAAAAGAATGATACGGGGTCCTTCTAAAGTAGTAGCTCAGATTGCTGGACGACTCACAGAAATAAACAATAACAGGTCAGCAGTCTGTAAAAAAAAGCTAAATTTTAATCCAAAGATCAACGAATGCTATCGTCTGAAGAGCGGAAATTTTTGTGTCATTGACTCAATAAATAGTAATGCTAAAAGTGTTCTTGGTCAAGTCTATATCAGAACAGAAAATTTATTCAGCTCTCCTTGTAATTCTAAACTTGTTGGTATTTACAAGGTTAACAACAAGCATACAGAAATGTTGTATATACCTTTTGATGATTTTGTATCAAAGGCCATAAGAATACCGCTGTCTCTTTTTGAACCTGATAATCTAGCAGCAGCAGTTATTTTATCACTTGTGCACAGTTGAAATGCTCTACAAGTTAACTAACCATATTTGGTATTCGTTAGGTGCTAAATGAGCTATAAAGTGCTTTAATGATTTTAAAAATGGAACATTCAACATTTGTAAATTTATTTGTAATTGAATTTTAATGCCTCTTTGTATTATTTTGATTTCAATTTTTTTGATAAGTCAATATTTATGCTTTTACTCATTTACCTTGAATAAACTCAGTTACTTTACCCCCTTTAAAAGTTTACTATAATCCCTTACTTTACTACACCCGCTTTTTCAAGGACCTATTTTTTATAAACTAAATTTTTGTACGAAATAGGCAATTTCTTTTAATGAGCGAGTTTGCCCCCCCCTCCCCCCGCCCTCCTCACTTTGAAAAAGTGTTTTTATAATCAAAATAATTATTAAGTAAATAATAGTAATGATATCAATACGTGATTTCATTTTGATATCATAAACTGCTCATTTTATATCAGGTTTTAAGTTCAGAATGATATCAATGATTGATTATTTTTTAATATCAAATTGGTATCATAAACTTCTCATGTTATAATATCAGCCTTTGATTTCAGAATGATATCAATGAGTGATTTTATTTTGATATCTTATTGACATCACAAACTTCTCATAGTATGATATCAGGTTTTGAGTTCAGAATGATTTCAACGAGTGATTTCATTTTGATATCATATTGATATCATATATTGATATCATAAATATCAAAGTTTGATATCATATTGATATCCGTATGATATCAAATTCGTGACTGGG